CAGCATTGTCAATTATGAACTCTTGGTGTGTTCTTATTTGGTGAATTTCGTGATGCAATTCTGCTGTTGGTTCGAGGTCACGACTATCTGGACTCATATGTATGATGCTGTTTGATTGCTGAAAGTTCGCTATTGCTCATCTTCCTTGCAATTTGGTATCGGAGCTGTGGTACGTTTGCGCTCATCTGGCGCTTGTCTTCTGCCTGGTACGGTACGGCGGAGGCGAGTGAGTGGCGACCCAGGAGGTGAGGGGATCGCCAGGAAGGCTACGTGGTGTTAATGTGGTCTGGACAGTGTGATGAGAACTATCTAATGTGCGATTGATGCTGAGGTGGAACGGCGAGATAATGCGGGTTGTGCCGATGCAGTGACTGGTCATCGCAATCGCCATAAGGTCATCTGGTGAGATTATCTCTGTGGTTGGGGGCAGCTATTTGAGGTACGTTGTTCTTAACCTTATCTACCCTCTCCGACACTTCTTACCGTGAGGTTGTGTGTTCCTTCTTGAGAGTCCTCTCATTGTGAGGTGTCGAGTGCGCTCAACCTTGAGAGTCAGCAATGTTCACGTGGAGCATCTGGGAGAAGATGGGCGGAGCTTTCTGAAGGGCCCTGGACACCATGCCAACCCACAGGGAGTAGAGCACGCATGCCCTGCTGCTTGTCCTTTGTTCGGCTTGCTGCGCTGTCAGATGGGTATTGATGGGCAGGCCAGCCCTTAAGGGAGACGAGACCGGGCGTCTTTAAATAAGCTCAGGAAGGGGAACCATTGGCTGTGATCGTCGTCCAGCTGCGACGTAAAAGAATTCCTGGAGTCACTTGGGGGCAGACATTAAATTGCCTTGGATCAGCCAATGGTTGTAAGGCTCGCTGCACGCGAGGATAATCCAGTGCAGGGCTGGCCAGCTCAGCAGATACTCGAGGCACAGGGGTGGGCCGGACACACACCTTTAGACACGCGACGCTCTCCAGATCGCTCAGGGACGCTGACGTGAAGAGATACTCAAGGGAATTAAGGGAGGGGTAAATTCCAGGTGATAAGTTCAAGAAAATTCCATGTTGTCCTATCCACACAAATAATTCTATTTTTATGCTTTGATTAGTTAGGTGTACAGCCATTGACATCCGACAGACAGCATTAGTTAGAACTGCTTCTTGTTCATGATGGTTCTGTTTGGGGACTAGTCCAACTAAAAATAGTTTTATTTGTAGGAATCTGACGTACCTGTTGACTTGAACGTAAAGTCTCTGAAATAGTCACCAATTAATTAGTTGGTCTGTGCACTACGCTGCGGTAAGCATCCAGTGTGTATTAGTGCAGATTGTGTACAGTGCTGTAGCTTATGAGCGAGGGGGAGGACACTAGAGAGGACGACCGGATCTTGCGATCGGCAAGGCGCCCAGTAGCCCATTTGGCATTAGGTCCAGAGGGTGACAGATATCTGTTCCGCCAGCGTAGAGAGAGGTTGCAGCAGCAGAGGAGGGCTAGAGCAGCAGAGGCTAGCAGGGCACTTGTGAGTGAAGCCGCAGCTTCGGAAGCCATGGCCACTTCTGCGCAGCAGACTACTCAGGCCGGTAGTTCAAGATCTGTAGGGTCAACGGTCGCGCAGACCCAGAGTCAGTCCACTGGCGTCATGGCAAGCCAGCCACTAGTGTTGACTTCCGATGAGATCGCCATACAACAAGCAGCATTGCAGGAGGCACAACTACAAAAGGCGTTAGGAGATATAAAAGCGGAGAAAGAAAGAATGATTAGAAGAAGAGCCAGGATGCAACGGAGACAAGCGGACGTTAGTGAGTTAGAGGAGATGGACCTGACGCACGTGACTAATGAGGTGAGGATCGTACGGTCCGTCCTGCTGAATGTAGTTGAGATGCAGGACCATCAGACAACCATCCTTCAGGACATCCAACAAAGTGTGGCCCTGTTGGTTGGGCAAGCGCAGGCAACGTCGCCAATGTCTGGGCCTGGTGCCTGGCCCGTTGCACATCCTCCTCCTTATGTCCCACCGGTGACTAGGGTATCCCCATATATAGCTCCATCATCGGTAGCGATCGTTTCCCTGGGCATGCCGCTATCAGGAGGGGTATCAGCAGAGACTAGTTTACAGGTTCTTGTACAGACAGTGTTCACCCAAACTCCGTTGCAGGTTGCGGTCACCACGCAGCCTGCTGTCTCGCAGCATGTGCAGCCGCAGGGCACACAGCCCCAGCAGCTAGCACAACAACCTGTGTCACAGGGTCCACAACCCGCCGTGATGCAGGGATCAGGACAAACACAGTGGGTTCCAAAGACGGCCATCGCCGCTCCGAAACCCGTCACAGGGGACAAGAGAGGCGAAGACCTCGACACATGGTTGAGGTCAGTGCCGATCTATGTCAAGTGTAAACTTACCTTGCCGCACGAAGAAGTGCTTGTGGCTGCTTCCTACCTAGAGGGTAGTGCAACAAGATGGTTGAGTGGTAGTGCAGCTCCAGGGGTATGGTCATGACTTCCGCGCTTGGGCGGTCACCCATAAATTGGAGGACTTCCTGAAGATGGTGGAGGAAAGGTTGCACGATTCTCAGGAGACCCAAAGGGCCACTGATGCGATCCTGACACTGCACACGCGGCAGTTTAATTCAGTAAGGGAAGCCACCGACTCTGTTGAGCGTCCGATCTCTGTCCCTGGGGTGCGCTATGACCCCCAAGTTCTGCTTACCTCGTACCTGAGATGCTTTTCTTTGCTTCTCAGGAACCAGTTGGCAAGTCAGGCCAACATCAATATGCACAACTTCCCTTTGTTTAGCAAGATGGCCCTAGACCTTGAGGCGAAGATAGGGCATGGACAGGCACCCACTACGGATGGAAGGAGAAAGACACTGCCTCCTAACTGGAAGGCGAAGGGGCGCATTATGTTTGTCGATAACGATGGTTCAACCATCGAATTAGAGGAACACTTCCAGGAAGGAGTAGGTTCAGAGGCTGGCAGCGCAGAAGCTTCAGAGGGTGGAGTAGTCGCTGCCGTCACTCAAAACGGTAAGGCGACCGGTCGACGCCGCGGAGGCTCCCGATCAAGGAGTCAAGTTGACCCCAACGCTCCCCCATGGGAGAAGGCGGGTCTCGCAGAGGATGTGTGGAGAGATCGGTACACACGGCAGGCTTGCATTCGTTGTGGCCAATATGGCCATAATCAGTTCAAGTGCTGTAACAAGAAGGTGACCGACAAGATCCCGCCTACGATGGGGCAGGCGGTAGGATCCTCACATCCCGTTGGTAGCAATGTTGCCAGCACTTCAGGCACTGCTCCGAGAAACACGTCGGGCCAGTAGGAATAGTAGTTGTTCCTATTAGGGTCGAGGTGGTGGAGACACCCTCACCATCTTGAGAGATGGCCCAAGCTACTGACTCCAGTGTCGTCCCGCAAACACATTCATACCCATCGAGCCTCTGTTCGATGAATGTGTTTGAGTCCTTAGAGGAGCTAGAGGTGGAGTGGTCTAGATCAGACCCGCTAGCTTCTTGGACGGCCCTAGTCAAAGCCCCTAAGGATGAGATGTTCGTCAGCGAGGTTGTCATTGGCGGCGCAAGGCCGGGGCCTATTATGATACTTGCTCGACAAGGAACTTTATTAGTCGCGCGTGCGTTGAGAGGCTGCGTTTACAGGGGCGAGTGCAGTGCCTGAGTCGACCTGTGCCAACAAACAGCGCATGGTAGTCAACGACTACCTCCAGGATGTGGAGTGTTGTTTCCCGTACGCGGGAGGGGAATTGAGACATCACGTCTCGTTCCTAGTGAGTGACGAGCTCCCAATGGATATGCTACTAGGTATGTACTACCTCTCTGTGGCACAGCCCCAGTTTGACTGGGACCGAAAAGTGGTCAGACACACTTTGCCGGGTGGAGGGACCCCCAGATTACATAAGTTCAAAGTTAGTAGTCTGATCGAGTCGTATGGGTGCATGTGTGTGGCCGCGTTCTACAATTATTACAAGCAAAACCAGGAGGAGGGTATGTATTTAGTTTATGACTCTGCTGCAGGCGAGCCGGTGAAAATGCCGCCGGAGATAGAGGGAGTAGTTGCCAAGTACCCTGATCTATTTGAAGAGCCGACAGGGGTTGTAGAGAGGGAGGTTGTCCATGCGATAGAGATTATCCCAGGGTCTAGTATCCCAAATGGTAGGATCTATCGAATGTCTCAAGGCGAGCTCGATGAGCTTGCCGACAACTCAAGGAACTCGTAGAGAAGGGTTGGATCCGGCTGAGTGTCTCTCCTTATGGGTCTCCAGTTCTATTCGTACCTAAGAAAAAGGAGGGTACACTTAGGATGTGCCTTGACTATAGGGGCCTCAATGCCATCACTATAAAGAACAGAGAGCCCCTGCTGCGCATCGATGATCTGCTAGATAGAGTGCAAGGGTGTCGGTACTTTAGTAAGCAGTAAGATAGATCTGAAGTCCGGGTACCATCAGATTGCAATTCGGCCCGAGGATCAACACAAAACCGCTTTTCAGACCAGGTACGGTCTGTACGAGTTTGTGGTGATGCCTTTCGGCCTTTGCAATGCTCCTGGCACCTTTTTAGCACGCTATGAATCGGATATTCCATGACTACTTGGATAAGTTTTTCATCGTGTACCTCGATGACATACTTATTTTTAGTAAGACTGTCGAAGAGCATGTTGCACACTTGGACAAAGTCCTCAGTCTCCTGCGACAGCACAAGTTCAAGATCAACGGTGAGAAGTGCGAGTTTGGGCGCACCCGTGTCTTGTACTTGGGTCATGAGATCTCCTTGGAAGGGTTGAAGCCCGATGACGTGAAGGTGGCCAGCATTCGTGATTGGCCACGTCCTCAGTCTGTGACTGAGATGAGATCTTTCTTAGGAATGACAAGCTACTATAGGACCTTCGTTAAGAACTATAGTATAGTGACCTCTCCTTTAATTAATCTGACGCGCCTGGACACCCCATGGGAGTGGACAGATGAGTGCGAGGCTGCTTTCAGACATCTGAAGCATGTGTTGACGCACTACGAGGTCTTGAAACTTCCTGATCTTGATAAGCCGTTTATAGTCACCACGGATGGCAGCCAATATGGCATTGGCGCCGTGCTTGCGCAGCAGGAGGGGCCAAAGTTAAGGTCTGTAGAGTACATGTCCAAGAAGATGCCCTCTCAGAAGTTGGCAAAGTCCACCTATGAGAAGGAACTCTATGCGGTGTACAAGGCTCTGACCCATTGGAGACACTGTCTCCTTGGGAGGTTCTTCATCCTCAGGACTGATCATCAGACCCTGAGATGGATGAGAACTCAGCCTGTTCTCTCTGAAGCCCTCAAGTGTTGGATAGAAGTCATTGAGCAATATGACTTTGACCCTCAGTATCTGAAAGGGGAGTACAACAAGGTTGCTGATGCCTTGTCGCGTAGACCTGATTTCTCAGGTGCGCTGATTACTGAGTTCGATCTGACGGACAGTGTTACTCAGTCTTTGGTGGAAGCCTATCGCGATGACCAGTTCATGTCTGAGATCATACGCAGACTTGAGGTGAAGGACAAGAAGACTTCTGCTGAGTTTGAGTTGGTCAATGGCTTGCTGTTCCTTGAGAAGGAAGAGAATAAACGATTGTGTGTCCCAAATAGCGAGTCTTTGCGTAGTTTGTTTTTAGGTGAGTGCCATGATGCCACCGGCCATTTTGGGTATAAGAAGACCGCAGCCAATCTGCTGCAGCGGTTCTGGTGGCCCACGATGATGCGAGATGCCCAGCTGTACGTGGAGACTTGTCAAGTTTGTCAAAGGGACAAGCCACGTACTCAGGCTCCTCTTGGGCTTTTGAAGCCCCTTCCGATTCCGGAACGGCCTGGTGAGAGTCTGTCCATGGATTTCATGGATACTCTAATCACTAGCAAGAGAGGGATGCGTCACATCTTCGTCATCGTGGATAGATTTAGTAAGTATGCTAGGTTAGTAGCAATGCCGGAAACAGCAAAGACGGAGTATGTGATCCGAATGTTCAAAGAGAACTGGGTTAGAGACTTTGGTTTACCGAAGTCAATTGTCAGTGACAGGGATGTCCTGTTTACCAGCGAGTTGTGGAAGGCCGCTGCTGCAGAGCAGGGCACTCAATTGCAGATGACTTCTGGGAATCACCCAGAGGCCAATGGACAGGCCGAGCAACTGAATCGCGCTGTACAACACCTGTTGAGGCACTACATCAAGCCCAACCAGGTGGACTGGGATGAGAAGCTTGCTCTCATCGCCAGCTTGTATAACAACGCTGTACACAGCGCCACCAGGGTGACCCCAAATAACTTACTGCTAACATTTAAGCCGAGGCTGCCCCTAGACTTCCCTCTCCCTGAGAATCAATCCACTGCTGCACCAGGTACCTTAGAATTTGCATATCGCTATGAACAGAAGATGCAGCACGCTGTATAACAGATGCAGAAGGTGCAGGCTGCAATGATAGAGTCTGAAAATAGACATCGCCGGCCTTCTACATTTCAGGTTGGGGATAGGGTCTGGGTGAAGTCTTCAGAACTGGGACAGGAGCACGGGATCTCCCGCAAACTTATGCCCCAGTACTTTGGACCCTGGGAAGTCTTGGACATCGTTGGGACAGATCCGGATGGTCCATCTTATGTTATCCGGATACCTGGTCACCTCCGCACTTACCCTGTCTTTCACGCCTCTAAGCTGGCACCTTTCAAAGAAACTGATCAGTTTCCATCTCGACGCTCAATGCTGCCCCCAACCATGGACTGAGAGGTGGACATCGATGACATCGTGGACCACAGAGAGCTGCCAGTATCAAGACCAACAGGCAGGGGACGCCCTCCGAAACTGAAGCTGCAATATCGCGTTCGGTTCCGGCATCACACTGATCCGAAGGAGGACCATTGGTTCACCAGGGAGGAACTCATGCAGACCGCTCCTCAAGTTGTAGCCCAATACGAGAGATCTCTGCAGAAGGGAAAGCGCCCCATGATTGAAGACTGAGCTTCTCAGAGGACTGTTGAAGCTAAGGAGGAGGGAATGCGAGGCCACTGCCTCTATGAGCCCAATAAGGCCCCATTTTGCAGCCCGTCGGCGGGCAGGCTCGACGAGGCCCTCAGGGCCCTATTCTGGCCACCACGCAACTCAGGGAAATTCAGGCAGTTGCGCCAGTTGGTTAAGTGAACCCGGGCCCTGGGCCGCCTGTGTGAATGTATGTGAAGCAGGCCCTGGGCTGGATACGGGTACTGGGCCAAACACAGGCCAAAGGCAGTTGGGCACATGCAACCACCTCAGGC